GGGGGGGGGGGAGGTAGTTCTCTTCTCTTGTGTAATCTTGACCCAGTTCCATTGTGCAGTGTTCTGTGGAAAAGCCTGGGATGTTTCATGATGGTCCTGTAAATCTACATTTCTGCCCCCAAGGATCCCACACCACTATAGGCCACAGAGCCGACCCTCTCTCTACAGCAGCTCTGGTTTGGGTTAGGCCATCATCCCAGTGACACCAGCTTTTGCCAACCTGCTTTTGGGTTTCCCTCCAGGTGACTCGCTGCATCATCGAGGTCCTCTCAAATGCTCTGTCAAAGTCCAATGCTCCACCCATCACCCCTGAGTGTCGCCAAGTCCTGAAAAAGAGTAAGTGTCCTACACTGCTGGAGATCTTTGTCCCTCAGGTGATCCTTCCTCCTGCTTGCTCCACTTCAGCTTCCACTTTACCTCCAAATGAGGGGAGAATTAGGGGAGTGGGTAATGCAATGGAAAGAGTACAGACTAGACTAGTATCTGAGGAGATAGAAGATATGGCTTCTAGTCCCAATCTGCCACTTAATAGCTGTGTGACCATGGGGAAAGACCTCTTGCCTTTCTGGGCTTATTTTCTCAAAGTAAAATAAGGGAGTTGAACTCAATGATAGTCTTTGAGATGTCTATCAGTTCTTAAATTCCTTGGTTCCAGAGTTTGGATTTTTAGAACAGGCTTTTACTTGGGTGGAGGGAGGTGTGGGGAGTGCTTTTTTGTTATTAGGTAGTAGGGGTTAAGTGTTCTGGGAGTGTTGGAAGACAAAAAGATAGAAGTAGATCTTAATTATTCTTCTCCCTGCCTTCTGCTCTTCTGACAGTGAGAAGTTAGAAGCTTGAAGGGCGACTTGGAAACTTCTGCCCTCTTTACACGACAGATTGTTTAAGCCATTTTCATTTACAGCTGATTAGAATGGGAGGTACTACCAAATGGTAGAGGTTAGGCCTGAGAACTAAAAAGGGGAGGGTAAAAGCAGAGCATTCAGTGAGTCAGAGCAATGACCTTCTGAATCTAGAGTGGGATGTATTCTCTATACAAATCAACTTCTGTCGAAGACAAAATCTGAACAGTAATGCAAGCAGTATCCATTGGGCATTGACATTAAAAGATCAATTTTTCAAAACTATGCTGTCTCTTTTAAATTTTTTTTAACATTTATTTATTTTTGAGAGAGAGAGAGAGAGAGAATGAGTAGGGCGGGCAGAGAGAGAGAGAGAGAGAGGGAGACACAGAATCTGAAGCAGACTCCAGGCTCTGAGCTCTCAGCACAGAATCTGATGTGGAGCTTGAACTCATGAACTGAGAGGTCATGACCTGAGCTGAAGTTGGATGCTTAACCAACTGAGCCACCCAGGCGCCCCTATGCTGCCTCCTTTATACATGAAGTCAAAATGATGCAAACAAATCCAAAAATCACTGTTCTCTTCAACACCTTCTCTGCTTTTAAATTTTTAGTGAGGCTGGGAATGGTGATCTTTTTTTTTTTCTTGTCACCTCCAAAATCTCTTGTTGCAGGAGAATACTCTTGCTATTGCTGCACATGAGCCCTCATACATAAAATGGTAAAAACCAGTATTGGCAATTGACCAAAAGAGTAACCTAGCAGGACTCAATCCACCATTGGAGGCTTCAGGGTAATTATAGTAGATGTGGGGACCTGAGTCTGCAAGGGCCCCATGAACAATGGGAGGAAGCTTCCCTACCAATCCCAGCCTAGACATCTCTTTCTGAATTTCTCCCCAACTTTCTTTTCCAGCCATTACAGGGAATGTGTACAAACAGAATGGATCTTCAGGCAGGGACAAAAGGCAGCTCCTCTGGGCAGACCCATCTCACTATCTCCCTTCTCTTTGTTTTGTTTACCAGATGGATGCAAAAGTGTGGGGTTTGCCATACTAGGTCATCAAAGAACTGTGATTGGTTAGGAAGAGCTGTTGAATGTCGGATTCTGCTTGCCGGCTCAGCCCTTACTTTGTGGCCATGGCAATTCTAGCCTCCCCTTATCACTGACTGTGCCCTGGGGTCTTTTGATGTCTTTGAGACAGCCTCAGGGAAACTGGTTAAAATCTAATGACTCATGTCTAACAGGACCCTGGTGACACTGCACCCAAGAACTACACAAGGGTTTAAGAGCTCCTCTGGGTTGCAGACTCAGACATCAGCCAGGGCCAGACAGATAGCATAAGGAATAAGGCAGAATAGAAAGTAACTCACAGACTGGAAGATACATGTCCCTTCTGGAGGGGGTGAGGGTACAGGGGGAGATATTTTTCTGCTCCAACTGAGAAATATAGACTTTATTATCAGATTTGGGATTTTTCAAGAGAAGTGAAAATTTGGATTTGTAAGCAATATCTCCTGGTATTTGAGTATTGCCTCTGAATTTGAAATTGCTAAAAATGCTATTTAGGCCAAAAAGAACTCACCTCTGGGTTACTAGTTTGTGGCTTCTGCCCGATTCTAGTTTTCTCTCCTGCTGATATGTCTTAAGCTGCTCAGAAGACCGGTAGAGGTTTTGGCCAGCTGGATGGATGAATTCTCCCTCCCACCTGTAGCTCATCTCCATCTCCACTCCCCACTCTCTTCAGCATGTCTGTGGAGCAAGCATATGCTTACTGAGTAAATGAGCACTGGGAGAGTGGAAGAGAATCACTGTTTGTGGCTTGAAGAGACCTCGGGGAATACATAGTCCATTTCTTAATAGGTACGAGAATCTCTTTGTCCAGGTTAATCTGGTTATCCTTGCAACATGAAAGTTAGGGATGGAAGGTACATTTCCCCCATTTTTACTTGAAAGTAAGGACGGGCTTCACACCTTGGTTTTACAGATTGACAGTGACTATGTGCTGCTAATCACAGTACTCTGATCTCACCTGTGGGGACTTAAAGCTAAATTTAGGAGGAAGTGCTAAGCCTCAGTCACAAACTGCTACAGGGAGCACACATATAACTGGGGAAAAAGAAAAATACTTCTGTTCCTGACCAGTAGGCAGTAGGAAAGGGGTGACACAGCCCCTGCCCTGGAAAGCTGAGATCCTGTCTGATCAGGGTTATGTCATCTGACTCTCAGAATGATGTCAGTCTCTGCCCAAAGCCTCCTTGCTTACCTATGCCTACTTGGACAACCTCACCTGCCTCAATGTTGCACTGGTTCTTAAAAGACAAATCACTGGAAAGGCACCAGCTCTTAGGTGTCTGGGTGTGAAAGGTCAGAGACATTTCAGTTGATTCATAAAACATGAGAATGTTATCATGCCAGGCTGGGCTTTAAGCAGAGAGGTACAGACCATCTGCTATTTTTTCGACATTTTTACAAAGACCCAATTTTGCAAACGTGAGTTCAAAATGACTCATCAGTACTGTTTTATAGAAATATAATGTGAACCACAAATATAATTTCAAATTTCTTAGTGGCCACATTAAAAAAGTAAAAAGAGACAGGTGAAATTAATATTCATAATATATTTTATTTTTATCTGATACATTTTATTCAATATATAATTCTTATACAACCAATAGATTTATTTATTTTATTAAAGTTTTTTTTTAAGTAATCTCTATGTCTAACATGGGGCTCAAACTCATGACCCCGAGATCAAGAGTTGCATGCTCTTCCAACCGAGCCAGTCAGGTGCCCCCACACCTAATGTATTTATAATATATATTATCCAATACATCCCAAGTATTATTTCAATATATAATCAATATAAAAAATTGAGATGTTTTGCTTTTTTTTTTTCATACAAAATCTTAGAAATCTGGTAGGCATCTTACACTTATAGCTCATCTCAGTTTGGATCAGCCGCATTTCAAATACTGAGTAGCCACCAAAGGCTGATAGCACAGTGGGACAGTGCAGATGTAGCCCCAGAGTTATGAGAGGCGTGGGCTTCAGGAGTTCTGTCTGAACTCGGTGACAAGTTGAAATTCAAGGCCTTCCAGCTATCATTCAGACAGCGTTAGCTGCATATCTCCTCTCATGGGACTCCCCTGAATTAAGGAGGATTTAGTAAAAGAGCTACTGACATCTGGAAAAGATAGAACACATTCAATTGAAATACCAGTTATACCATCTACTGTTGACTAATGAAACACAAAGATAACTCAGTATACTGATTTTCATCTTGAACATCTGAGAATATGTTGGGCAGATAGGACCCAAGTGATGGAAGAAATGGTTCTTTCTACTGCTGTACAGTTTTCTAAGGGAAGAAATATACCCACTTCTTGTCACCAGTTAGTAAGTTATATTGTCACTTACTGCTACCTTGGGTCTACACAGTTGATTGAATAAAAAAAAGGCTGATAAACTAATAATTTAAAATTTTACATCCTCCTTTGAATCCTGATGTTTCCCTTTGGCTATTTAACTTCATTTAGCTGGATTCTAGTTAGAACTATTTACATAATGCTAATTTTTTAGATCTTACTTACAGCCAATATAGAAAGAAGGGTCCCTAAATACACCTTTCTGAATTTCACTGTCTTTGTCTGCAAAAAGAGGAGGTTGAACAAGATGAATTCAAAGGTTTCTTCTGGCTCTAAAGTCTAACATTTCATAAATCTCTATTTGGATTTCCATTTTATCATTAATAGTACCGAGAAATGCTGGTTGGGTGCTATGAAAAAAGTAAAAATAGAAAGCGTTTATTATTAGATTTAACACAGCCAAGGAGCTTTCATACTGTTTGCTTTCAACAGTAATCTCAGTATATTTTTCATTAACTTAAAAAATTACCCAAGTGGGGTGCCTGAATGGTTCAGTCGGTTGAGCATTCAACGCTTGGTTTTGGCTCAGGTCATGATCTCGAGGTTGGTGGGTTTGGGCCCCACATCAGGGATCCACTCTGACAGTGAGATTCTCTCTCTCCTGCTCTCTCTGCCCCTCCCCCACTCACTCTATCTCTCTCAAAAATAAACTTCAAACAATTACTCAAGTGATTTTTCAGGTCCTTACGTTTTGCAGTGATCACTGAGGCTGGTGCTTGTTGAACCACAAGCAATTCTGAAGTTATGCTTATGCTTTTTTATTTTCATGATAGGTAGAAAAGAGGTCAAAGATGAAGAGAAAAATGAAAATGAAAACACACGATTTGAAGTAAGGTTGTTAAGAAACCCAGCTGATGCCTCAGAAGCCCACAGGCCTTCTGGTAGGGAGGAAACAAGAGCCCCAGGGGAGGATACCCAAGGCCTGACAATGGCAGACACAGCGGGAGGTGGGCATAGCCGAGAAGAAGCAGGTGAACCCCAAGGAGGCCTCTACCCCTCTAACAGTCAAGTCTCCAAAGAAGCAAAGACACACCATTCTGAGAAAACCGAGGAAGAGGACAGGAAGGAAGAGGAGGGAGAGAAATACCAGAAAAGGGAGCATGGGAAAGATGGCAGTGAAGAGAAAAACCTGGAAGAGCCAGAAGAGACACAAAATGCCTTTCTCAACAAAAGAAACCAGGCTACTGCTAAGAAAAAAGAGGACTTAGTTGCCAGATATGGTATACACTCTGCTGGACCGCCTGAGGAGATGACACACAGTCGAGAGAGGAGTAGCCAGGAGAGTCGTGAGGACACAAGAAGCCAGGAGAAACACCTTCAAGAGTCTAAAAACCAAGTTGGGAGCCAGGAAGAATCTGAGGAAAGTCAGGAAGATGCTGGCCCTGAGGTGGACAAACGACGCTGGAAGCCAAGACACCACCATGGGAGGACCAGGCCTGACAGGTCCTCTCAAGAAGGAAAACCTTCCTCCGATGAGAGGGGACACTTTCGTGAGGAATCGGAGTCAAACGTGGGCATGTCCACTGTAGGGGAAAGGAGGGACCATCATCCAGCCCACTACAGGGCTTCAGAGGAAGAAGAACCTGAATATGGGGAAGAAGTGAAGAGTTACCCAGCTGTCCAGGCTCCTGAGGACCTGGAGCAGGGACAATATGGCAGCAGAGGAAGTGAGGACTACAGGGCTCCAAGACCTCCCAGTGAGGAGAGCCAGGAGGAGGACAAGAGAAATGGCCCCAGCTCAGAGCTTGACAAGATGGCACATGGATATAATGAAGAAAGTGAGGAAGAGAGGGTCCGAGAAGGGGGACACCACTATAGAACCAGAGGAGGGGAACCAGGTGCATATTCCACTCCAGACAATAAACAAGAAAAACGTTTCTTGGGTGAAGGGCACTACCGTGTTCAAGAAAGCCAGATGGACAAGGCAAGGAGGCATCCACAAGGCGAGTGGAAAGAGCAGGACAGAAATTATCTCAACTATGGTGAAGAAGGAGCCCAAGGGAAGTGGCAGCAGCAGGAGGACCTGGAAGATGCTAAAGAGAGCAGGGAAGAAGCTAGGCTTCAAGGCAAACAATATACTCCCCTTCACACCACTGACAAGATGAAGAGATTAGGGGAGCTGCTCAACACATACTATGACCCTCCTCAGTGGAGGAGCAGCCATTTTGAGAGAAAAGACAACATGGATGATAATTTTCTTGAGGGTGAAGAAGAAAATGGGCTGACCTTGAATGAGAAGAACTTCTTCCCAGAATACAACTATGACTTGTGGGAGAAAAAGCCCTTCGAAGAGGACGTGAATTGGGGCTATGAGAAGAGAAATCTCCCCCCCAAACTGGATCTGAAAAGGCAGTATGACAGAGTGGCTGAACTGGACCAGCTCCTTCACTACAGGAAGAAGTCAGCTGAATTTCCAGACTTTTATGACTCTGAGGAGCAGATGAGCCCACGCCATGCAGCAGAAAATGAAAAGGACAGGGCCGGCCAGGGAGTTCTGACAGAGGAAGAGGTACAGTGTGGGGCTTTTGCTTAAAATTAATTTAAGATGGCTAATGTTGATATGTTCAAGACTATCTGATATTAATGTGGAGAAATTGGTGGGAATCAATTACCATGAGACTCTACCCCCATAAGAGAGTGGAGATAACCTCTGGGTTTGAGTCCATTGTCCATATCCCTGTGCACTCACCCTACTGCAGTGCTTCTCAACCTTTGCTGCACATTGGAATCACCTGCAAGGCTTGAGTAATTACTGATGTTTGGACCCACCTCCAGGGATTCTGTGTATCTGGTACTGGGTACTACGTGGGCATGAGGATTTTTCAAAGCTCCCAGTCATTGTTCAGTCAAGGTTGACAACCACTATTTTGGTGTCTTCTTAGTCATTTAACTTTTCACCACTATTTCCCAGGGGAAGAAAGAACAGATGATATAGAAATTAATTGCTTTAGTCTATCTTAATTTTTAATTTTTTAAACGTTTATTTTTGAGAGACAGAGAAAGAGCATGAGTGGGGGAGGGGCAGAGAGAGAGGGAAACACAGAATGTGAAGCAGCCTCCATCCAGACTCTGAGCTGTCAGCACAGAGCCTGAGAGCGGGGCTTGAACCCACGAGCCATGAGATCATGACCTGAGCTGAAGTCAGTCGCTTAACCCAGTCACCCAGGCACCCCATTTTAGTCTATCAGCTAAAGATATCACCCCATTTTGTTATCAGCTACTGGACTATAACAATTAGTTGACATCTTGGAGAGTTAATATTATCAGAACTGTACCAGCCTGAATAATGATTTTTTCCTAATATTATGTTGGTTGGTGTTTCTCAAACTTGAACGTGCATAAGAATCTCAAGAGATTCCTAGCCTTCAGGGTTTCTGATTGAGTAGGTCCTTGGGTGAGGCCCGAGAATCTGAATTTCTGACAAGTTCCTTGGAGATGCTGATGCTTCTGGTGAGGGGACCACACTTTGAGCACCACTGATGGTAGGGTGTCTCATATGACTTCTAACATATCAAATATTCCCCTTTCTGTTCATACTCCTTCAAACTACAATAAAACTAATTGATCTGAGACCTCATGCCTCCACCCTTCTGTATTTTCTAGGAAAAAGAACTTGAAAACTTGGCTGCAATGGATTTGGAACTACAGAAAATAGCTGAGAAGTTCAGTGGCAACCAAAGAGGCTGATGGTTGTTGGAGCAAAGGGCAGTTTTAAAGAAGCAACTCTCACATTATCTATTTTCCACCCACTTCACTGAAAGACACCATTTATTTACCCAAGAGCAGAAAGTAGAATTCACTATTCATTAAATGTTTGACACAATTTGGAAATGCTTTAATTTTTGCCAGAATGCTATTGAAAATATGAATAGCATGACTTGTAGCGTATCCTTTCTTGCAAAATAGACATATTAACATGCTTGTGACAATGATTGTGCTATCATCTTTGAAAAAATATGTTTGTCTGGGTTTGAAACAATAAAAGATTCATCTGAGACCAAAGCTTCATGTTCTTAGCTTCCTTTGGGCATCTCAGGGTGGAGTGTGATTTTCGAATCCATTCTTTAAAGTAAATTTGACTATGTGGATGGAACTAGAGGGTATTATGCTAAGTGAAATTAGTCAGAAAAAGACAAATATCATAGGACTTTACTCACATGAGGACTTTAAGATATAAAACAGATGAACATAAGGGAAGGGAAGCAAAAATACTATAAAAATAGGGAAGGGGACAAAACATGAGACTCTTTTTTTTTCTTTTTAAAAAATTTTTTTAATGTTTATTTATTTTTGAGACAGACAGAGACAGAGCATGAGTGGGGGATGGGCAGAGAGAGAGGGAGACATAGAATCCAAAGCGGGCTCCAGGCTCTGAGCTGTTAGCACAGAGCCCAACACAGGGCTCAAACCCACAAACTGTGAGATCATGACCTGAGTCGAAGTTGGATGCTCAACCGACTGAGCCACCCAGGCGCCCCTTCCAGTAAGAGACTCTTAAATATGGAGAACAAACAGAGGGTTACTGGAGGGGTTGTGGGAGGGGGATGGGGCTAAATGGGTAAGGGGCATTCCTTAATACGAATCTACTCCTGAAATCATTGTTGCATAAGTAACTTGGATGTAAATTAAAAGAAAATAAATTAAATAAATAAAAGTAAATTTGAGAGGATAGCACTAGGATTTGTTTGTCTCTGGGTGCAGAATAGGAAAAAGAAAAAAAAAAAAAGCAAAACTTTAAGTAAAAGAATGTCCAGGATATAAAGTGAAAGAGCTCAAGAAAAGACATCTGTTCCCCCAAGATAAAGAAAGTTTAAGTAGACTTGAAGAAGCTGTTTCAAAAATGATCATAAGACATTACTTTTTAAATCTTATTATCTGGAAAGCTCTGGGAATAGCAAGCCAAGGGTCACTTTTCAGGGCCAAGGAGAGCCTGGATCATGGGAAGCACTCTGGACTGAAAATCAGAACATCTGGGCCGGTCCAGACAGATCCCTGGACCCTCAGGGCCTGTCTGATTTCTACTCTGTAAGAAGACAGGGTTCTGACTCTGTTACTAAGTAAAGGTATGACTTTGGACAAGTTGTTTTCCCCTCTCTGGACCTCAAGTTCATCAGCAAAATAAGGATACCTGCCTCACTGGGTTGTTATGAGGATGATATGAGTAAGCAAGACACTGAGAATAGTGCCTGACATATGGCATGATGCAGGAAATGTTGGCTGCTACCACTGACCCTGCAGCTAGCTACAGCAAGACAGGTGGAAAATGTCCTCTTCTTTTACCTGTCATTTCATTCCTCACAAATGGTGTCTCCCAAGGGATAGAGCCCCAAGTGCCACAGCAGCAACCTGCTTGGTAATATAGCTTTATAGGCTGCCTTTATCTCCTTGTCCCACTTTCCTACTGGTAACCTCAACTGGTGTTTCCTGGAATCATCTCCCAAATAAACTACTTGTCCTCAACTTCCTACCTTAGGGTTTGCTTCTGGGGGACCCAAACCTAAGAAACCATCCAGAGCCAAGCTTGTATTATGGAAAATAATACAACTACAGTTTCATATATTGCCATTGTAACCCTTTGTGTTATTGAATCTTGATACAAGTTACTAAGAAATGCTTAAGGGCGCCTGGGTGGCTCAGTCAGTTAAGTGTCCAACTTCGGCTCAAGTGATGATCTCACAGTTTGTGGGTTCGAGTCCTGTGTCAGGCTCTGTGCTGACAGCTCAGAGCCTGGAGGCTGCTTCAGATTCTGTGTCTTCCCCTCTCTCAGCCCTTCCCCCACTCACATTCTGTCTCTCTCTCTCTCTCTCTCTCTCTCTCAAAAATGAATAAAAATTAAAAGAACAAAACAAGGGAAAAAAAAGAAATTCTTAATACATTGCAGTAGACACAACAATGTCTCTCCCTTTTCTCTATTGCAGTTCAGTAGAAAAAAATCACTTCCTAATAAAGAAGATTCAAGGATCCAAGATGAATAGCTTACTCACTGGATAAGAGAAGGCAAAACACTGCAATGCACCAAATGCCAGCCTGGCAAGTCACTCACTCTCACACTCTCTCTCACACACACACACACACACACACACACACACACACACACACACACACACCACTGTTCATGAGAAGCTGCTGGCAGATGGAGCCTAGCAACACATGGTCCTGGCCTCTGGTGGATGTCCTGTGCACTAGCACATCCCTTCATTTTAGTTTGCAAATTCTTCAGGGCAGGAGAATGTGTAGGCACAGATGACCTATCAAGGATACAGGAGACATTCAAGAGAATCCCACCTGACTCATGGTGCCAGCAGAGTGTGATTAAGACCTCTGGGGATGCGATGCCACCATTTATTTAAGACAAACTCACCATTTATTTGAGACAAATCCAGGCCACTGTTTTTTTCCTCTTTTAATCAAAGTACTATATATTGATGGCAAAACATCAAGTAGTCCTGAAAGGCATACAGTGGGTGTTTTGGGTTGAATTGTGTCTTCCAAAATGACATGTTGAAGACCTAACCTCTAGCACCTGTGAACACGACCTTACTTGAAAATCGTCTCTGCCGATGCAATGAAGTTCTGTTGAGGTCATTAGGGTGGGCCCATATCCAATACAACTAGTGTCCTTATCAGAGGAGGGAAATCTGGACACAGACACACACAGAGGAGAATGTCATCTGAAGACATAAACATGGAGGGAAGATGGCCATGTGAGGATGGTGGTAGAGATTAAAAGTGGGCTGCCACCAGCCAAACATCTGGGGTCACTACAAGCTGGAAGAGGAAAGATTCTCCCCTAGAACTGTCAGGAGGAGAATGACCCTGCTGATACCTTGATTGGGACTTCTGGCCTCCAGGTCCTTTGTTAGGACAGCCCTGGGTATCTAATACAATGAGAAACAAATGGCTTCTAACCCTCTCCTCTCAAATCCTTTTGCAGATGTAACTATGTGTATTTAGAGTTCTTTTCCTATTTGAATTTTTGAATTGTCATGGTCTCTAATTAATATTTTATCAAGGAGGAATTAAAGCACAGTGATGGAACAGGAGGGGAGAAAGGGTCCTAGCATTACAAAATGAAAATGTACAGGGGCGCCTGGGTGGCTCAGTTGGTTGAGCGGCCGACTTCAGCTCTGGTCATGATCTTGCAGTCCGTGGGTTCGGGCCCCGCATTGGGCTCTGTGCTGACAGCTCAGAATCTGGAGCCTGCTTCAGATTCTGTGTGTGTGTGTCTCTCTCTCTCTACCCCTCCCCCACTCATGCTTTGTCTCTCTCTCTGTCAATAATATAAACAGTAAAAAAAAATTAACAAAATGAAAATGTACAACATATCATTGTAAAATATAGTATAATTGGGAGATCTCAGGTGCTAAAATAATTAACTCATGAAAATGAAATCATTATTACTCTGTAGCTCAGAAACCAGCCTCTTGGATACATAACTGGCCTCAGGGAGAAAGTGAAACACCCTAAAAAAAAAAAAAGTGTGGGTTGTCAGCCATGTGGACTTCTGGGGGAAGGACACTTCAGGCAGAGGGAATAACAAGTGCAAAGGCCCCAAGACAGTAAATGTGGTCGGTATGTTTGAAGAAGTGCAGGGAGGCCCATGTGGGGGACGTAGAAAGTGAAGTGGCACTAGCCAGATCACACAGGGCTTTGTATGGCCTGGTAAGGACTTTTGCCTTTGCAACTGGAGAGTTGTCAGCAAAGGACTGACATGATTTGCTTTATACAATAACAACACTCTAGCTCCTGGGTTGAGAGAAGGCTGTAGGGGAAGTGAGGACACAAACACAAAAACCAGTAAGGAGATCATTGCAATAATCCTGGTGGGTCACTGTGATGGCTTGAACCAGGATGTGGCACTTGAACCAGGGGGTAGGGAGAAGTAGTCAAACTATGGATCTATTTTGAAGACAGAGGACAGGTAGGGCTGAAGGATTTGGTGTGGCATGAGTGAAAGAGAGGTGTCAAGGACGAATGCTTTAGGCCTGAGCAACAGGGAAGAGCAGAGGTGAGGAGGCTTGGCTTAGGAGGGAAGATATCAGATTGGGCTATATTAAGTCTGAAACATGACCAGATACCCAACTGGAGGTGTTGAGTTGGGTATATAGGCCTGGAGCTCAAGGGAAAGGATGTGCTACAGACATCATGTGGGAGTCATCATCACAGAGATGGTATTTAAAGCCTTAAAACTGGAGAAAGAAGAATAAATGAAGCTCAAAGTTAGTAGAAGGAAGGAAATGACAAAGATCAGAGGGGAAATCAATGATATTAGACTAAAAAGACAATAGAAAAAAAATCAGTGAAACAAATAGCTGCTTCTTTAAAAAGGTGAACAAAACTGGCATACTTTTAGCTAGACTTACCAAGAAAAAAAGAGAGGGCTCAAATAAATAAAATCAGAAATGAAAGAGGAGCCATTACAACAGACAGAAATACAAAGGCTCATAAGAGACTACTGTGAATAATTATATGCCAACAAATTGGACAACCTAGAAGATATGGGACATCCCTAGAAACATACAACTTTCTAAGACTGAGTTATGAAGAATTAGAAAATCTGAGTAGACCAATTACTAACTAATAAGTAGGTTGAATCAGACATTAAAAACCTACCAACAAACAAAAGTACAAGACCAGACGGTTTCACTGGTGAATTCTACCAAACATTCAAAGAGGAATTAATACCA